TGTTTGTATGTTTGTATGTATGTATCATGTGTGTTCGCGTGCACATACACTTCTATATGTGTATGTGTATGATGTATATGTGTAAATCATGGGGAGCCAGACCACCGTGTCTTAGGCTCTGGCCTGCGGACGGCATTCAGAAGCTGGCCGTTGATGAGGAGGTTCTCTCTAGCACGTCCGTCTTCATCTCGGCGTCAGTCGCACGAAACTTAAGATCTGAAGCTAGAACCTTCTTAATGCTACTGCCAAACACGCGGCCCATGTCGGGGAGTAGCAACGCCTCAACAGCATTATCATGAATTTGCGTTATGGGGACTACTACCAAAACTGCAGATGCGTCCAAAACTGCAGATGCGTCCAAAACTGCAGATGCGTCTACTACTACTGCTACTACTACTACTACTACTACTACTACTACACTACTACTACTACTACCATTGCTGCTCCGAACACCAGTATACTACTTCCAGTAGATTGATTAGTGTCAGCATGAAGTTTCTACTGTTGACACTAATAGAAGAATTACTATAAACGTTGGTCCTGTCAATGTGTTTTCCTTTCAACACTACAGGCATTGCTGGCCGTGGTTATTTACATATAGAATCAGAATTCTAAAGCCATACTTCTGAATACTACACGAGTGAGAGTATTCCGACCTACCTGCAAGATCGCGCCTTTGTAGCGATGGCCGAGCTGAAGCAGAGGCCCTCGCATGGCATCCTCCGGATCCTGCGCGGGGGCGCGGATCTCAAGTCCGAGGAGCCCTCAACATCTTTGCAGCTTACAGGAATCCCCCGCCCCCCCCCCCCCCCCCCCCCGCCGATGCCAGGGCTTCGGGCAGTTTGTCTGACTCCTCGTCGTCCTCCTCGTCCTCCTCCTCCCCATCCTCCTAACAGAGGAAAGCTCCGACCTTCACAAGACTCGAGAGGCCCCTGCACACGAGGTCTCCTGGTCGACGGCTAAGTCAGGCGCGGCACCTCAGCCATCAGCAGCCTGTAGGCTTCCAGTCCCGGTCTCTCTGAAATTGTCAATCAGGCAGGCGAGGACAAAGAGCAAGCCACTGTTTCTGAAAGCTCTGCAGTAACTTCCACGAAGTGGGACCACGATGAGGAGCGACAGCAAACATACGCGAAGATTTCGATGGATGATGATGGTGATGACGAAGGTGGAGAAGACAGGGGCGAAGAAAATCAGGATGAGACTGATAGCGTTATGTTATGACATACACACATCCGGCGCATCCGGCTGCCAGGCTCGGGACCTTCCTTCTCCTCGTCCTCTTCGTCTGAGTTGATGATCTTGCCGCCATGATCCTACCCGGAAGCTTCAAGCAACCTTTCCTATGAGTTCTTTCATATTGGCAGCATCGCCTAACAGAGCCGAAGATACCCCAGGACTTGGGCCGCTCGGGAAGTCAAGCCCAGGCTCCTCGGAGTCCGAATCATCATAGTTGCCTCCAGGCACGGCCCACTGCTTCTCATTCAGAGGACTTTTTTTTGCTTTTCAGGGCTTCCGCTTCGAAGTCCAATTCCATCGCGAGCTTGTTGCTTCCAGTTCCCATACTTCCCTTGCTGGCTTCATGACCGCGACTACGACTATACGCAGACACGGCTAAGGCCCACGGGCCAAAGGCCAGCCAGGGGGTTTGAGTCTTCGGCTTTTGTTGGAGATTCACAGACTAAGGAAGCCGGAAGTAGGCGAAGGCCCAAGCTGTCGAATTCAGGGCTCTCGTGACTTCAAGGTGTCGGGTGCCGGAGCCTCCCAGCATGGCGTCACAGACCGGCGCACATGAAGGCGTTCCAGTTTCTCTACTTGCCTATCTGGGATTCGAAGCGGGTCCAACCTCCTAGCTTCCTGGTGCTGTCAATCTATGTCGCATTGCTCATTGTTGCTAACATCTTGCCACTGTCTGCAGTATGAGCCAGCCACCAGGCACGTCTTCAGTGTATCTTGCCACTGCATTTGTCGGAGTCCCGGATTCCTGGCCATGCGGTTGACTCGAACATGAGTGCGGTTACTGCGATCCTGTGGCCCTGTAACAAGACCCAGCAATGCTCTTTCTTGCATCTGCATCCACTCAACGACATCAGAGCACCTTTTGAAAACCTTTGAGGACCGGCATGCACACGGTTTGCTTGGCAATCGTGTCCGCACGTTGTAGGAAGCTGAAGTTGGAACCCAAGGCATCTTGGCCCTGCGACTTGCTAGCTTAGACCCATGGCAATGGGTATGGCTGCCATGAACGACCACGCAGTGACTACCCTGCCAGCCTCTGAGGACGACGGGTGTTCTCCACCGCAGCGGTGTTCAGGGGAGGGGCGCGACGTGGGTGGCAGATGATCATGCCGTAAGCGGACCTTGTTGACTTCGACTCACCTGTCTGAGCCTTGCCTTCCAGTTGCACTCCGACGTGCTTCGGTGCTTCTCGATTCCATGCATGAGTGGCCACAGGTTCCGAAGAGACTTCCGGGCTCCTCCAGGACCAGTCATACCAAACTCTTGGAGATCCGGTCGGGCAGAAGGGCGCGAGCTCTCGCTCTGTAGCTTCACTGGGTTCTCCGCATGCTCGGAGGAGCTTTCACAAACATCGGGCAAGCAGCGAGCTGCATCTCAGGTCTTTCTCGCCACATGAACCTGCAAGCTCTGTGAGACCCACAAGCGCGGAAATAACTTAGAAGCCGTCAAGGCTGCAACCTACTCCTGGCAGTTGCAAGCCTTAGAATTGCATGTCGTCTGAGCACATTGCATCAATGCCCGGCGACTCGCTGCGCTACCATAAGGGTGCGGATGGTTTACGGCTTGTTGTGCGGTCGCGAAGATTGGCATTTCACATCAACACTGGATGTCCTGGATGGACTGTGGTACATGGTATACCATGCCGTCGTCCTACCCGCTCTACTGTGTCGTAATTGCCCAGACGAGCGTCAACATTCGATAAGTCGCCATCGAATCTGACTGACGAGCCGAGCGATGCGCTTCTTTTCCTGGCCTGCGGGTACCGATGGTCCTGCGACCCGGAGGTGACACTTCCCCACCCTGAAAATCTCATGTTCAAGGCTCAAATTCAGAAGATGCAACTGTGCTTCAGTGACGGCACTACCCCAGAAGGGCTCTTGCTTTGTGAGCACCGTACAAGGGCCTTCTGAAAATCGGAGGTAAGCCCCCGAGAGTCCGCGCTTGCACTCATTGGCTCATTCCCCCAGCTTCTCCCCCAGTTCGAGGATGCGAATGAACTCATCCTCGGGAAGGCTTGGAGCGCACCGTCTTGCCCGGGCTTCGCAAACATACTTCCAGCCACCTGCAATGTTCCAAGCCTGTAGCAACCTTCTTCGAATTCCAACGCAAGTGATGTGGGGTGCTAGAAGGAATAAGTCACCGCATGCCACCCGGACAGCATGCTTTCCCAGCAGGTCCTCGGTAAAGGACAGGACGCGCGCCGCCTCCATGTGAGCCCGCTGCCTCTTCAGCACCTGGACTCTTACCCTGCTTGCAAAGGTAGGACAGGTCAGAGCCAGTGGCCTCGATGAGCTTCATCTGCTTCTTGAAGGCGTTGATCTGAAAGCAACGGACCGGAAGCTTGAGGGTCGCCCTAGCACGCCTTCTTTGAACCGAGGTTTGTTTCTTTATGCCGGGACATGGACCCCTGTGCCTCCCGATAGCTCACACCCACCTGCCCTCAGCTCTAACTACCGCAAAATGGTTGAGGCAAAACCAGATGTCCTCAGCTTCGCATCCCTCTCAGCTCGATGCCAGCTCTCCCCGCTGCCGTTCGAGCTTCCTGACCTCTCACACAAGCGACTGCGTGGCCTTCTCTGGAGGCTTCTCCAAATCTAAGCTCAAGCTCCGAAGACACAACACTCTAGCGGCCTCTCCGGTCAAGCGGTCTACTTCTTTGCGGTCAGAGGCGACCCGGTCGCGCTCCTCAGCTCAACGCACTCCAAACGGAATAACATGCATAGGAACTTAACCGTGAAGACTCTGATCACTAATATAGCTTGTCAAGTCTTGGGACTTCAATGCTTGAAAGAGCCTGCAGAATTCCTGAAGACAGATGCGAGTCTGACCACAAGCGAAAGGAAATCCGTGGCATGCTGCTGCTCTTTTTTGAATTTCTTTGATGTCGCACAGCCTCTCTCGCTGTCTTCGCACTCCTCTCGTCTTTCTGCGTCCTGGACGTTCGCAGTCGCGGCAGCAGCCTGGCGACAAGGGCCCAACATTGGAGGGCCTTTTTGGGGATTTGAGCATCTCCGGAGCCCACTTTCAGCGGAGCAGCCTGGGAACCTCGCAATGTGCCGCTGCAACGGCGTAGTCATCCCTACGAGCCTCCTCTTTGGGCGACAGATGGGGGGGCTTTTAATAAGTGGGCGACAGATGGGGGGGGCTTTTAATAAGAGATGCTCTCTTCAAGTCTCAAGCGAGAATGGGGCACATGTGGGGATACTGATGGGCGTGCCGCACTGGAACAAGCTCTCTTCAAGGTTTCGACCGTCGGGACGTATTCGAGGACTTGATTTGGGCGTCGGATTTGAACTCGCTGTTGAACAGGCTGACGCAGGGCGCGTGGTGGGCGAGGCAGCGACTTGGGCAAACGGCTTTGAGCACCGGGATGCATGGCATTGGGGCACGGGGCGGCGCCCTGGAGCAGCTCCCTCTGCAGGAAAACCCTACCTCTCCCCCACAAGGCACAGGGCGCCAGGCGGCGCCTTCCACTTGTCGCTCTCCTCCATGAGCCGATTCAGGCGAGCTTCCTGACTTCCGGGCTGAGCCCGGAAGTGTATGCTTGCATAGAGTTAAGGATTCGGGTGCTTCGGGCTGTTTGGGCTAGGGAACAGGATCACAACGAAGGGGGCAACCTGTTTCAGCACGGCAGGCGTGGAAAACAGAGGCAGTCCCGAATCCCCCTTCTTGCCGGGCCTTGCTGCTGCATTCCGCCTCTGCTTTCCGCAGCTTCAAGTCCAGCTGGTCTCGCTCCTACAACATTTGTTGAACCCTCCCTGAGTTCCTAATTTACCTAAATCGGCACCGCGAACTGTTCCGTGCAGTAGTCTACATGCTGGCATGAGCTGTATGTGAAGCTCAATTGCAGGCCTGCAATCACTAAGCCCCCAGCAAAGCCCGGAAGCTACAAGGCTTGAACAAATCCTTCCCAGATGCCCTCCTTTGTCAGCTCCGAGCGTTCCACCTCAAGGTCCTTGGCCTGCAAGGGCGTCTTGAAGTTTAGAACAAAAATACTGCGAGGCTTTCGTGTTTCGTAGTTGTTTCACCAGGTTCGGCATTCTGGCTCAAGATTCGGCTTGGGAAGAGCCCCAGAAATCCCCAGAAGCAAGAAGCCGCAGAATCCCGCGTCGGATGGCACTTAGCTCTGGGGTTTTGAACGTTTGACGCTCTGTTGACGCGCCTTGGTCTCCAAGGTGGCGAGCTGTTTCTTCAGCTTCTCCTGCTGTAGAACCGAGGACTCAAACATACTACGATATAATATCATATGCAATCATAGACTAGAACATCTTATCATATACCATCAGATACTAGATACCAGAATGTACTAGACTCCTAGACTGCACAGAGACGGGGAAGTCGATTTCCGGCTCCCGCTCCGGCCCTCCATCTCCTCGCAACCGGTGCAGCCCATTCTCGTATGCTGTCGTGGATTATCGTATACTATAATATAGTATATGATACTATAATATACTATACTAGACTATATTGCTGCGGATTTCTGTATGCAGCGTCATCTGGTCTATCTACCTGGCCCTGGTTGCAGGCTGGCCAACAAACCACCGTCTCCTGCGACTGCTCGAGGGATGCGTTTGTCTTCCTGCAGGAGAACATCGCATATTGGTCAGCCGCCACGGAAACACTTGCGCAGCAGCAAGACAACCATGAAGGGCAAGAACAGCCCCAAGTGTGCTGGCGAATCGAATTCACAGCAACCCCTTGTCAGACGAGCGTCTGCAAGCGCTTCGCCTCTTCTGAAGCCTGAAGCAGGCCATGTTCCCGTTGTCATGATCCTCCTGGTGCCTTTACGGACCGCATCGCTTCCCAAGGCTCCAGCCTGTTTGCTCTCTTGCCGGGCTTCTTGCGCCTGAGGCTTGATGGGTGAGATGGCGCTTGAGGCTTTTGCTGCTTAGCTAACCAGGCTCGACCTTCGGGCAAGGCTTTTGCTGCCCCCGTTCGACTAGCCCTCGAGCTCTGGGGTCTTCAGTCCGAACTGCATGCTCCTCTCAAACATCCCCCGCAGTCCTATTAGAGGACCACATCCCAAATCTTAGGGAAATTGCGGGGTGCAAACCCTCTGGCCTCTGTCTCACGCTGTGATAGCTCTGACAGAGCTCGGTCGAGCTCCTGGCAACACAAAGACTCTGTCAAGACTTTGGGAAGCCTTGAAGTATGCAATTCGAAGCAGAAACTCCTATTCAACGACCGGCCCACGAACGATGAGATGTATTTAGCTAAACAAATGAAGACCTCAGACAGCGATCACGGGCCACGGACACAATTTCTTCAAAAGCTGACAAGGAACCCCTACGCCCCCAACTGGACACCCTTCCATCGACGCATTTTCCTCCCGTTCGCTCGAGAGCCCTGGGCTTCGGGGCTTCGGGGCCATTTCGGCCACCAGCCAAGCGCACGTGAAAAGAGCTCGAGGTGAGGTCCAAAAGAAGCTTCGTTCGGTTGGAGGTGTAGGACTTGAGAGGCTTAGGGTTCCAAGGGTTCTAAATTCTACGGTTGTTTAAGGTTTCGGGTTTAGAGGTTTGTGGGCAGGATCACACTCATTACGCTTTACTGAAAAGTATTCTTTCGGCTCGAGCTGGATTCGCCCCGTCCCGGCTGTTTTCCGGCTCGGAGCAGGCACCCGAGCCCAGCAACCCCTGCCACGTTCCCAAAGCACTGCATACGAATCATGCCGAAACGACTGCTAAGCTAAGAATGAAAAGTAATGATCGTCGTCTTCTTCCTCACGCAGCACCAGGACTGCCGTCATCATGATCATCATGCATGCTTACAATTTACAACTTCCTTATCAACTTCGTGACAACGAGCACCTGCATCAACGGCAGCGGCAGCATGGCAAGGCGTCGTCGAACTCGTCACTGAGGACTTTGGTCTCGGCAAGGCTCTTGGAAACACCCACCACCACCACCACCACCAACAACAACAACAACAACGACAACAACAACAACACCACAGCACCAACAAACACTAATAGCAGCAGTAATTACAGCACCGCCAGTACCACCACTGCCCCCACCTTCGCCGCCAGCAATACAACCATCAAACTGTGATCATCGTGTTCTTCTGGTGCTTGCTGTCGTCAAGCACAACAGTTGGTTCAAGCCTCACGCAATAGGTCCGTGACTAAACTCTTCCGCAGGCGTTGCTGTGCTGGGGATCTGCTGCGTCTACGTGAAGATGCGCTGGGAGCCTTGGCCAAAGGCTTCAGCTGAGGGCTTGATACCCTAGGGTCTGTTCTTGAAGAACTTCGAGCTTCGGGCCTCGTGTATACAGTTCAGAGCAGTCTGTAAACTGGTTGTGTCAAATCGATTTTATCCTTGACCTCCTGCTCACCCGTTCGCAAGTTTGCAACCCCGTTGAGTGCAAGCCCGTTGTGATCCAGCCCACTCTCCTTCGCGACAGTCTTCGGTTGGTGGTACCTGGTTTGGAGATGGTTGTCGCGGTGGAAGACCAAACATCCAGTCCCGGAATGACACAACTCCGGAGAATCAAATCTGCCAGGGAGCGTCGGGCAGGCTTCCGGCAGATGGGGCAGACCCGTCGAGAGCGTGCCAGGCAGCGTTTGACACACGGCTCGCAGACACAGAAGTGCCTCGGCTCCCGAGGAGGCACATGGTCACTTGAAAGGCAAAGCAAGAAAACCGCTCAGAACAAAAAGGAGGCCTGAAGAAACCCAGGAGCCCGCAGGGTATGAAGGCGTGGGTCTTTTGTTGATCCTCGCGACTTGTTGAAGCCAGACTTGAGGCAAGGAAGCACGGAAGGTGCTCGGCCGTAGCTAGCGAGTCTCTGTACCGTTGAATCCCTCGCCTGGCAGATGACACAGACCCGGTCACTGTCGGTCTCAGGGCTGCCGTCCGCCTTCCGCTTGGCCTCGGAGGGCAAGGGGCTTTGGAGCCTCTCTTGGCCTCGGAGCCCCTCCGCGGCAGCGTCTCAGATCCTTTCCAGCCGACAGGCCGCCTGAGAGATGGGAGGAGGCGGCGACGGCTCCGCGGGCTCCGCTGGCTCCGCTGGCTCCGCGGGCTCCGGCTCCTGGCGGATGTTCTGAGAGAGCCTTCCAAAAACCTCTGCCCCCGAGCTAAAAAAAGAGTGGCGCCTCCTCACTGGCTATGACGGTCGTGGGCGATGGCGCCACGGATGCATCCGACTCCACTCGTCGGTTCCACCGCTCGTCCGATGAGGACTCCACCTGGCGGTTGCTGCTCTGAAACACCGAAAACCCCGCGCGTGTCGGCGCCTCCTCCGTTTCCGGGGCTGTGTCCGTTTCACTGTCCGACGCTGGACCATGCTCCTCCTCTGTGAACTGGAGAGGCTGCCTGAGCCGGACTCTGTAAAACGAATGAAACATACAATACACGAGCAACCCTTGTCAAATGTCCAGATATATAACAGGTAGACAGGTACACAGATAGAAGGAAAGATGGAATATAGAGCTGAAGATTGAATGGAGAACTTTCCGTGACAGCATTTGTTGAATCTGCGACGCTTCCGTCCCCTGCACTGCATCGGGTGATACTGTTCCCCTCTCGCCTACAGTAGACCTCCTCACCGGCCTGAACTCAATGCTTAAAAAGTGTTGGTGGGCACTTGTCGGCATGCCGGTGAAGAGTAGAAGTTGTTGGAATCATCCGAGCTGCAGGAGGCGTAGTCGGTGGGAAAACAAGCGACCACCTTGATCTACAATCTCCGCAGTGAACCTGAGGTCACGAGTGACACAACAGCCCTGCAGATTCCTTGTGGAAATGCCCGGCTTGAGGAGAGCCTGCCACCAAGTGGCAAGATCCAGGCGCCAGGGCTCAGAGGGGGTCCTCCAATCAGGCGATTTGATGCTGAACAGCACTGGTCTGGCTTTGTTGAAGGGTCCTCTTGCGAGCATGCCGGGTGCTGCCATGAGAAGCAGTGGCTCACCGTAGACGTGCTCGTGCAGCTTCATGTGGACGCTCACCTGTCCGGTCAGTGATGGGACCGCTGCAGACATCATCCGAACATGAGCATACACTAGCCCTACACTGACTCCGAAGTCCGAAACCCCGTGGCCGTGTCCGCTGTGACGGTTTGCTGGCTCCAGCGGACTTTGCCCTTCCACTCCACCTTCGCAGGGTGCCAGCACACGCCATCAGCCCGACCCCTGAGGCTCCCCTTTCACCGTCCTTCCGGCCCCGGCCTTCTTCCCTAAGAAGAAGGCCCGGAAGACCCCAGAGTTTCTCCAGGAGCCCCTTGCCAGCTGCTCGTGCTGCGCATGGAGCCCGCAGCAGCGCAGGTAGAAGCTGTAGGTGAAGCTGTAGTCCGAGGGCGTACCCATGGCACCTCATCTCTGACACAGCCCTAAATGGCTTCAATCCCTAAACCCAAAAAAATCCAAAAACCCTCCAAGCGAGCAGAGCGACGGAAAGCCCGGCTCACGGCCCCCATTCGCAGGCCCACGAGCTGCGCCATCACCATGCGGCCTTGAAAGCAGAGCTTTGCTTGTGAGGAGCCGAAGCCTGCATCGTAGACCTAAACACCATAAAGTTTCATTCCCTACTGGTAGCACCTGCCAGTTCTGTCAAGCCGAAATTGAGGTTTTGGGCTGGTGAGCAGGATCTTTGGCGCTCGCATGCCTCGCAGTCGTACAGCCAGAAAGCCGACCCAGTCTCCAGGCAGGAGGAAGTTCGTCCAGACACCTGCCGTCATGTGCTCAATCTGTCCTACATGCTGTGTGCACAGTTGTATGAAACAGGGACAGCGAAGCCTTCATCCCGCCTTCCGAGACAAATCCTTTCAAGCACCATCCCTCCTCTGGGAGGGCCACACGGCACTCACCTAGGAATTTGGCAAACGTCGTGCTATCGGCCAGAATCCTGTTGTTGCATCGAACTGAGAGGTGATCAAAGAGCAAATCTCTAACTCAATGGTGCCAATAGAACCGGAGCATCGCTCTCTGCAACAATCCTCCACAGGAGCTCTTCCACAGGCCAAGCGGCGCCCAGTCTCGGGGATGTCAAGGAGGATGCCCTCGTGCCTGCCACCATATCGCCGGGTCACACCGCAAGCAGCTTTCCAAAAGAGCTCGTGCGACCACGCTGCTTGATGGCCGCACCGTTCGGCGTCGAGCGGCCTTAAACGGACAAAGACCCAACACCCAGAGCTGAACGGGTTCATGACCTAACGTCACTTACGCGACCACAAGGCCCGGATTTGTCATTCCAGCCGCTTCACCGTAAACTCCAACGCCCTTGCCGGCCTAAAACTGGTGCAGCCCGAACCTGGCTCTGCATCTTTCACAAACCAAGTTGCGATTGAAGTCACGAACATCGTGAAAGATGCCTCGGTGGCCGACCGGGGGATCAGAAACTGAGATCTACTTTACATTCTAGCACAGTAGGCTCTTCGAGGCTCCCCTGACTCCGAGGCTCTTCGAGGCTCCCTGGCGCATTCCTCAATCTCTTGGAGAGACGGAGAGCTGCCCATCTTTGCCCATAGCCGAAGTTGAAACCACGACGGGGCCAGGGCTTTCAGCGGTCTGAGTCTATGCCGTCTTGGGCGGCCTTGGGCTCATAGGGGAGGAGAACAGATGCTCGGGGTGCTTTGATGTCTTCTCCTCTGGTGTGGGCTCCTTCGTTCATCACTTCCAGCCGAAATAGCCCACGTTATGAACTTGTCACTCTACATGTGAATGCCCGCTGGTGCTTCATGGTACCACAATGCTCCGGTGCCTGTCCAAAGCTTATCAAAACCAGAAGAAATCCAGAAAACTCTTCGGCCGTGCACCTCCTGCAAGGCCAGGATGCGTGCATTCTGCACGCGGATGGTGGTTTGCAGGGCCTCTTTCAATCACAAGCCCATGACGGCCCTTGGCATCTATGGCATCTGTACATACACGATACAACACATATACGGTCAGGCGCTCGGCCGCCCATGGTCCATGGTCCAGGATGCCACCCCCCCCCCGTGGGTGGGGTGTGGGTCCCTCTTCTCCCTATGGTGTGCTTGTGGGGTTTTGGGGTTTAGGGTGTAGCTTAAGCTTTTGAGTTTGGGGTTTAGGGCTTAAGGTTAAGAGTTATAAGGCTTAGAGTCGACAAGAGCTTAGGGAGGGTTTGGGGTGTAGGTTGGTCGGGGTGACGGTTTATGTTCTGCTTCAAGCTTAGAGCCTGCATT